TGATGGTAGGAGCACAGGCTTTGACTCCGTTGGAACAGTTAGACGCCCATCCTTATGATCTTGGGCAAGTTACCTGACTTCTCTAAGTGTCAGTTTTCCTTATCTGTAACTGGAATTAATAATACCCACCTCACTGGATGACGGTCATTTTTAAATGGGTTAATATAAAAGATATAAAAGAATTAGATGAGATGATATAAAATATTTAACAATGCCTGGCACAAAGTAAGCATTTAATCAAGGGAAAAGATTATTGTTATTATAAAAATGGCTTAATCGGAATTGTAGTTGAATACTTACATAATTTTTTTATTATTCTGAAGTTCGTTGCATTGCTAATTATTTCATGGAGTTTCATAAATTTCTCTTTAAAATCCTCCTGTTTAGAAAGTAAGGCTAACATGAAGTAAAATACAACTATTCATATTACCCTATTTGAAGTTTTTTTCTTTATTTCCTCAGTCAATCCAATAATAAAAAGAATCTGAGGTTGAATGCCATGTACTCCCTGTATTTATCATTCTATATGTGGGATGATTAAAATATGACCTGAATTTTATTCCTCAGTGTGATAATGATTCATGAAGGGCAAGGACCCTGAGTTTTTCATTGCTTTGTTCCCATTGCTAGTAGTACCAGTGCATTGCAGGCACACAATTAAATGTCTGTTGAATGAATGAATGAATGAATGTAGTGAAATGTTATATTGCTCTACCTATAGCTTATTATTTGATAAACATCACTGTTCTATTTAACCCAGGGTCATAGCGCTTGTTCATTATTAGTATTTTGAATATATCCTCAACTAAAAGAGCATATCCTGTTTTTCAATTTTTTAATGTTTTAAATATCCTTAATTTTCAGAAGTTCTTTCTCATGTGGAATTCTAAAACTAGTAAAAGGAAAATGTTAATATTTCAAAGGTCAAAGATGGTTTTCAAAGATGCTACACTTGTAGCATATTTTCATTTACTCACCAGGGCTTAGGAAATTGAAATAAGCTATCAGGACTATTTCTGTGGGAGCCGTATGTCCTCACAGTCATTTGGCTTACAAATAATTCACGGTTTCTGTTGATAGCATGTCTGCAAAGGTTATATGAATTATGGTACATCTTGCAAATATTTCTGTTGAAAAATGCATCTCAGATGAAAATAAGGTCTCTTCATATCAAACTTCATAAGTAGGGGCATTCAGTGTTTTTGATAGAGTGACTCTCAAAATCAGAATTCAGGTTTTTATAACTCCTGGTACATTTACCACTGAAATTGGCTGTTTTTGATCTTTCTTTTGATCTTTCTGATATTTTCAGCCAGAAATACAAGATTTTTTAGTTTCTTACTACAATACTCCATCTTTCCTTTTTAGGCATCAAGTAGTGATGTTTTCTTCTTGTACCAGTTTAGGAATACTAGTCCAATGTGTTCCTTACTATGTCTAATTTACTAGACCATACTGGGAATTCTAAGGGTGCGCATTTGTTTCTTCCAGACAATTGCTAAACAAGTATTGGAGGTACTACTCATTAAGATGCCACTTACTGACTAGAAGACTTCGGGCAAGTTATTTACCTTCTTACCATCCCAGTTTCATCAAATGAGCTAACACTAGATGACTTTAAAGGTTTTTTCCTTCCGAAATTCTGTGACTTCAGTGGAGTACACTTAAGTGGTTTATAAAGTCTTGATATTCGTTTGCCTCTCATATTACATGTATTGTGTTTATAGTAGGTTAGATTAGGTTCAAATTTGCTATATCTTCATAGCACTTGAAAGGAAGCATTTGTATTTATTCATAGGGTGTTTTGATCATTTTTGCTATCAGGTAAAAAAACTGTTTTGCCAATATACTCCCAATATCTAAAACAGTGCTTCTCACCTGAGGGCAGTTTTCACCCCAGAAGACATTTGACGATGTCTGGAGACATTTTTGGTTGACACTACTGGGGTAGTGTTGCTGCATCTAGAGGACAGAGGCCACCATTGCTGCTAAACAGTCTGTGATGCACGGAATCGCCCCCAACCCCCACCAAAGAATTTTCAAGCCCAGAGTCGAGAGTGTAGAAGTTGATAAACCATGATCTAAAACTAAGTATTTTATACTCATTAGAATGGATATAGAAATATCATACTTAATATCATACTTGCTTTTTAAATCTTAAATTTATTTTCCATATTCTAAGGGATCAGATCCACATAAGTATACTTGTCAATATTTTTAGAATTAAGAAAACCAAAAAAAATGTCAATTTGGAAGTGTGTAAAATTAGAAAGTAATTGATTTCACATAGACATTTTAAAGACCAGGTTTCTAAGATCAGTACAATTTAATAAAGAATTTGAATATTAAGCAATATTCCTTAAGCGTTAATACTAAAAGATTATCTTTAAGTAAATTACAAAAGTAAAATCAGATGTATGCAATACCCATTCAGCAAATATTTATTGAGCCACCTATTATGTACCGTGCACTCTTTTTAGATGATGAGAATACAGTAGTGATCAAAACACAATCTCTAACCTCATGGAATTTCCATTCTAGTGGCATCAGAAGAGAATTTAAACAAGCTGCTGTCTTATCTTTCCTAGCTAAAAGTTTAAAACCTAAAGTCCAATTCTTTATTTCTTCTTACCATCATTGTAATTATATATGTTCTCAATTCATATAGCTTGCTTTTCTGACGCCAATTCACAATAGGCAATTTTTCATCCTGTCGAACAAATGAAAAAGAAAAGGTCTACTTCCAAAATGAGAGAATTGCTGTGGAAAAAAACTCTTAAGCTAGAGCCTCTTGACAAACAGTAAAGGGAGGCAAATCATAGGCTGCTAACACCATTCGCCTATCCCATCAGGCAGCAGACTAGCATCACAAGCTTTCTAAATAGAACCACAGTGACCAAGAGGAGAGTAGGGGAACTCAAGAACAGCAACCATAGAGGCCTCTCTCAGTCCCTCCAAATTCTGCAGCCTAATAATAAAGTCTGTGTTTACCTAACCATATCTACTATTATTTTATAATCTAAGATCATACATACCTTTAGATCAGTTTTCTCCATACTGAGGATGTTTTTATTTTATTCTTTCCTTGTAATGGAGAAAGACACCCATTCCTTTGGTCATTTTAGAAGCTTTTTTAGAACCCCCACCACCATCCACTCATACACACACACCTTATTATCTTTATTGATATTCAGTATCTAGAACAGCTTGCATAATTCTGTGTACATTCTCAGCATGATATTTTAAAATAGTGGAAGAGCCTGCTGTTGGTTTTGTTTTGTTTTGTTATTCCAGAACCCTCACTTCTGATGACTAGCAAATTCTTGGCTGAAGCTGCCTGTGGGGCTGTGTTCAGATTGCTGTCTGCCATAACTCCTACACCAGTTTCTTGTAACATGAGTGATAGCTCTGGCCCTACTACCTCATTCCAATTCTTAGATTTTTTTCCATTTAATTACTAAAGTTTAATGTATTGTGTTTAGCTGCCCATAATGAAGTTTATCTCCTATTTTTGCCAGTGTTAACCATTTGAAGATTTGGAAGTTAATCTACTTGAAAAGAGCCTGAAACTATCTAATGTGGAGATTTAACTTTTTCAATTTAATTAACTTTAGCGTTAGCCAGATATGACCTAAATAGAGAGACTTCTGGTTTAAAAGAGGAGGTAAAAAAAAAATAAAAGTCTATAGAAAACTACAGCAGAGGGCAAAATACAAGTCTGTTAAAGGAGGAAGCAATCGCATCCAGGTGCACAATTTTTCACAATTTAACATCTCTAAAATTGCAATGCATGTTTCATTGGACGATTACAAAATTCTCTTCTATATAGGCAACATTTTTTTCTTAATAGTATACATTTTTCTAAGTACACTTCACATTAATAGCATTTTAGATTTAATGAACTCTCAGACAAGTATAACATCACTAGGCTTAAATGGAGGACAGGAAAAAGAAACTGAACAAAGGCATCCAAGTAGAAGGCTTTGAAGATTATGTGAGGAGGACTTGAACAACAGACTGAGGCAGCTGGCAGAAAATACTTGTAGGTTTCCTCAGATAAACTGAATTGGATAATCTCCATAAAGTTTTGTTCTCTAAAAAACTAATAATTACCTTAGAATAATTCTGTTTATTCTTCTTTTCATCCTTGAACATATTTTTGGCCTGATTGTTTTAGATGAATTTTTGGTAGTTCATGTAATTTCCTGATTGGTCTTAATTTGTCATCCCTTAAAAGTTTCATCATTTTCCTTTAAGCAATCTTTCTATACTTTCAGTTGTCTCTTTTATTGACTACATTATATTGCAGTTAGCCCTGACGAATCTGGCTTTCAGCACCTCATTTTCTAGTATAAGGCTAGAATACAAAATTGTAAAAGCAAGGCACTTACTATATAAGGAATATATGATAATTTTTAGACTTGATCTACTATTTCTAAAGAAAAATGTTAAAATGTCTGAAAGTACATAGGTAAATTAGCATTCTTGATATTAAAAATAAATTAACAACCATAATAATATCACCATATATCCCAAGTTTGATTAAAGCAAGACCAGAATGTATTAAAAAGGAAAAAAGTATTAAGTGTAAAAAGTATTTCTCGAGCAGATGAGGTAATTAAAAATTGAAGTCTGTCAACAGAGGAAGAACAAAGCTCATTATTAACAGGCAGGAGGATTCAAAAACAGTTGAGACCTAATTTGGTATGAGGGCAAATAATGTTATAACCCAGAATAACAGCTTATTTTCATACTGAGAATCCTTAGTCATTTAATTCAAGATTTAACCAAGAAAAATGTTTAAAGTAGTACTATGTGAGGAAGCAAAGGGCAATGCTATCCCTAATGGTTAAGAGAGTGTGTGTGTGTGTGTGTGTGTGTGTGTGTGTGTGTGTGTGTGAGAAAGAGAGAAAGAGACTGATCTCCCCACAGAACACTTAAAGTCTGAGATATTTAATTATCTTAGGAATCTTAGGAAGATGAAGGTTTAAGTCTAGCTCCTCAATTTTAATGTGTGACTTTTCAGATGAGATTGTTACTGTGTAAATTAATCCTATGCTACCTGTGGCCTATCTAACACTACAGCAGAATTTAGTACACTAACACAGAAAACCCACACAGCAATGGCACATATACACATTTATGCAATAATTAGTTGATAATGTGTTAGGTAGTTTTATTTTCCATTTATAGTAAAAGGAGATTTTTGTTGCTAAAAAGAAACTAATCAAACTGTTGATTATTGGATATGCATTTAGCCATCACCTTGTTTTCTGGAATTGACCCAAGATAGAATAATTCTATTCATGGACTACTATGGAAACTATTTTGATTATCCTGTCTAAACATTGAGGGTTTTTTTCTGAGTAAAAGAATTCTTACACTGTTATGTAGAGCAGTGCATGTCAAGCTTTAATGTGCATACAAATCACCTGGACATCTTGTTAAACACCCTTTCTCTTTCTGATTCAGTGGGTCTGGGATGGGGCCTGAGACTGTGAATTTGTAACAAGCTCCCAGGTGATGCTGATGCTGTTGGTCCATGGACTACTCTTGGGAGTAGTAAGGATATAAAGAACTGGACCTCAGTTCAGTACTTCCTCAGGAAGAAGTAGGGCAAGATATGACCAATTGTGAATGCCTTTATCAGAAACATGGGGTTATTTTGTGTGTCCCTTCAAAAAAAGAAGCCCTTATTAGATTTCTACAAAGAGTTGAAGTAGATCTTGGACCACTTAGGAGGAGCATTTAGTATATATGGACAAAATGGCACATTGAAGCATCTTTAGGTTGATAGAGAACAGTCTCTTTTGAGATAAGTATACACTATGTCTGAGCTCCCACCTGAGGCAAAATTAGCGTGGTCTCCTCCACTGTACACTCATGAGAGAACGAGAGTGAAAAAGGCAAATAATATATTATTATTGTGATAATAGTTTTGACCTTTTGGACCCACTGAAAGCTTCCCAGCATTTCACAGAAGTCCCTGGGCCACACTTTGAGAAATGGTGGCATATAGGAAACTATACATTATCTGTCCATGCCTATTGCAAGTAACAGGGTAAATTTATGAGAGGAACCAAACCACAAATAGTTGGGGTTCCTCCCTATTAATATAACCCCTTTTTAATTTCTCATTTGAAACCATACTCTCAATAGTCCAAAGTACATAAAAATGAAATGGAAAGAAATTTGTTCAAAATACCCACACTGTCCAAGTAATTAGAAAGTTTCATTTGGAAGAGGTTATACTGATTAATGGTGGGTGGGGTGCAGAGAAAGACAGCACTTAGAACAAAGAGACAAAGAAGTAGATCTAAGCACGTGGCCAAAAGACTGTTTCCTGGTGCGACAGCTTGACCTGTTTAAAAGGGATTGCTTATTCAGTAAAGAGAATTATAATTTTATATTAAAAGTTATCTTTGTTACAGTAATTATAATAGATTATGAAGTTGCATATTCATTTTCTTTCCCTGTTTTCCTCATTTGTGTTACTGGCCAGAAGCAATCTTAGACTGTGAAAACGGACTCTCTGAGCTGAGAACTACCACTCCTGTATAGGCCCAGTGTTGACACTGCGTCTGTTCCTCTGCTCGTGCTTCACAAGAGCCCAGGAGGACTGGGATGGCCCAGGAGTAGTGAGACTAGAACAGAGAGTCAACATCAAATATAATTATTAGTATTTATTGAATATCTAAAACATGCTAAGTGATTTTAAGTTATAGAGGATAAATTTTTACTTTATACCTAGGCACAATGCCTGATGATGGGTCAACTAATTATCAATCAAAGTGTTACCTCTTAATTAGCTATCTACTCAAGATCCTTGGGAGAGCCAGAAAAGAGGAAAAATTGAAAATTATGAGAGAGCAACCTTTACCTTCAACCATAATCTTGACCCTGTTGCCCAAGTAATGCTGAAATCATTTGTTGTAACTCTGAGTACCAGCAGTACTCAGGTTATGTGTATCATGCCAAAGATACACATAACCATGAATACACAAAAGAGGACACCACTAAGATAGGAGGGCAAATCACATGTTATTTAGTAAGAGGGCAAAAATAAAGCGAAATTTGAAATTAGCCATAATGATAACAGTAGGTCAAAATTAACCTGATTTGAGCCTTTTTACCCTTAAGGATTTAAAAACAATCTCAGGAACACAGGGTTAAAAAAAAACATAGGGAAAGGGACATAACCTTACCAGAAGGATTAAATGGAATCACACTTATTTGTTGCTGTGGCAAAAGATACAGTAATCTGTGTGTGACACAGCCATCTTTCAAAGCTAGAAGACCTTTTCTTGAGATGTTCTACTAGATTCACTCATTACCACATCATAGTATCAACTAAGTAAATTAGCACAATCAGTACAATATCTACAGTTAATCCAAAGCCAGGTAAATGTTTTGATCACCAATTAAGATTCTGCACCCAGTTCTAATGTGTGTGTTGAGCAGGGAATAGTTTTCCACAAACCGACAAACAATTCAGCTAAATTCTGTCTAACTGGAGATAGCATCAGATTCACAGGTTAAGGGCTCAGTCCTACAAAACTGCCCCCTCCCCTCCACTTCAGACACGAGCTGCAAGTCCAGTTGTCACCTGTGCTTCTGACTGGCTATAAATCAGTGCAAGTCACCTGTGCTTCTGATTGACTGGCTATAAATCAGAGCTTCCCATTACCCCTTCCTTGGGTTCTATTAATTTGCTAGAGCAGCTCACAGAACTCAGAGAAACATTTTACTTACTAGATCACTGGATTATTATAAAATATATATATATAACTTGGGAACAGCCAGGTGAAGGAGATGTGCCTATGGTGAAAAGGCAAGGAGCTTCCATCCCCTCTTCCCTCCCCAGAAGCCATGGGATGGGACTAAAAGCTTCAACCCTCCAATCACATGTTTAGTTCTCCCATGCAACCAGCCCCATCCTTAGATGTGGTCAAAAAGTAACCTCATTAAAGTAACAAAAGGCACTTTTGTTGCCCTCATCACTTAGGAAATTCCAAAGATTTTAGGAGCTGTGCCAGAAAGGGGACAAAGATCAAATACATATTTCTTACCATAATCATAATACCACACCTGGCAACTAATTAAGTTATATTACAAGTTTACTTGTAATTTACTTGCTTCCTGTAATAATTTCTCAGCCATATTTTCCCATGTAACACTCCTTGGTTAAAAAGAAAGCACTTTGGTTCCTCAACATCTGTATGAATCTCAGTGTCCTATTTCTTTTTAACATCCTTGAGCTCCAGCACAAGTACTGCTAGTGTAAAAAAAAACCCTAACATTCCACTCCTCTGCAATAACTCTGATAATGGTCACATATAGTGAGGGTTCAACAATGATTTAAGCAAAAGACTGAGAAACTAGTGTTATATTTTAATGTTTTGATAGTTATGATAAATTTTATAGAACTTACTGTTTTAGGGCTTTCTGTGTACTAGATGGAATCAATTAGAACCTGTTAGATGTAATTCCACTGAAATTCTAGTTTTCAATGTATTTATCAAAATATATTGAATACTTACTATGAAAAATTATGTTTGTCATAGCTGCTTAAATTTCTTTACCTGCTTTCAAAAGGCAGATAAAAGTTTTATATTAGTTCATCTATGGACTATCAGGTCATTTTATGTGGTTTGAAATTTTACTTAAATGGAATATTATGTTTTCGTATAAAATAGTCTTTGTTTCTACATCGGAATCTGAATTTTTAAAACTCTTTTCTTAATTGATAGGGTACTACGGAGGTGCTTGCCTTAACTGAAACTTATAAAAACAAGCTTCTTAGAAATGTCCAGGACTGCTTCCTAAACAATTATGCCAACTAAATACACATTGATCAAGAAAAAGTAGTAGTAAGTACTGCTGCTTAACTTACCAAGTAGTCAGATAATAGACTAAAGATTTAGAGAAATTGAATTGATTGAATCATTATACTTTTAAATGAGCTAATAAAAATATATCTAGTTTATAATGACAGGAATTTGCATCACTATTAACTTAGATACCTTAGATCATGGTTAAAATTGTTCTTATAAAGAGAAAAGATACAGCTAGAAAAAGTTTACAACACGAAACTTCAGAAACATGATGTACACATGGGAGGTAGGATTTTTAAAATATAAAGATTTAGTGGTAGGGGAAAAGTATAGTAACTTTGGTTAGAAATACTACCTTCTTCTAACAGGAAAAAAAAAAGACAAAATGCTAGAAAATTCAGAAATACTAGGAATCTAAAACCTCTTTTATTTTACTAAATATCTTAAGAAAAAGTACCTGTTCTAAATATTCTTAGCTTTGAAGAACACATAGGTGAATATTTTATTCTTATTTTTTTTTTCCTGGCTTCTTAATTTGCAATGCTCAATAACTTTCTTAATGAGGTTGAATATAATTAGTCTGAACATTTACATGACTGAATCTAAAAACAGTTTTCCATACTACTTTCTTATGTTTATGCTTAGTTTTTAGAACTTTTTAAATACCTTACAGTATATTGTTTTCTTGCCCCCTCAGCAATCGTGTGGAAGCGTGGACAAGAGATGTTGCCTTTTTACTCAGACAAGAAGGCAGGCCTGTGGTTAATCTTATGCCTAAAAGGACTAAAATAAGAGTAATGGAAGAGGACTGGGAGAATACAGACAGAGCAGTAAATTGGTTAAGAAAAGAAGGAATTAATTACAGTCAACCATTTGTTCTGTATGTGGGATTAAATCTACCACACCCTTATCCTTCACCATCTTCAGGAGAAAATTTTGGATCTTCAACATTTCACACATCTCCTTATTGGCTTAAAAAAGTAAGTACACTATGTGTGCTCAAAAGTAGAAGTTAAAATTACATCTGTATGTTATTGGTATTTACTCATTGTTTCTTTTATTATCACTTTAAAGAAAATTTTGAAAATTGTATATTCTCATTAAATCAAATTGAACAACACCTGGTTGGAGGAAAAGAATATTACCACTTTGTTTTTCTCTCCTTTTTAGGTGTCTTATGATGCCATAAAAGTCCCAAAGTGGTCACCTCTGTCAGAAATGCACCCTATAGATTATTACTCTTCCTATACAAAAAACTGCACTGGGAAGTTTACAGAAAAAGAAATTAAGAATATTAGAGCATTTTATTATGCTATGTGTGCTGAGACAGATGCCATGCTTGGTAGGTGGTATAATGAATAAGTATTTACATGAAGAAAAAGTATAATATTTTTCCGGCAAACTGTTACCATGCTGGTTGGTGACTTGTATGAATATCCTCGGGTAATTTCTTATAACAGTTGTATAGATACTTCAGACTTAGGATTGTAAGACTCTTGATACATATAAAAAATTTGATAATTTCCATTTTTAATAGAATAAAAGCCTTTTCTACCTTAATTATTCATAAGTTAATAAATGCTTCAGTTTGTTCACACTTAAAATAGTGTCATAGACGGCTTGAAACATAAAGAAAGGGTCATCTGCTTGAAACGAAATTTTTACTAGCTTTAACCAGTAATCAGTACAGGCATACCTCTTCTTATTGTACTACACAGATGTGTTTTTTACAAATTCAAGGCAAGACCTTCCACCAGCAAAAAGATTACAACTTGCTTTATTACAGTACTTACTTTATTGCGGAAGTCTGGAACCAAACCCACAACATCTCTGAGCTCTGCCTATATTCAGCCAAACAGGTACATGTGTGACAGGTAATTGTAAGGCAGCTTAGGTTCTAAGAGATGAGACAGTTTAGTTGTAGAATCTTTGAGTTCTCCCAGACTTGTAATGACTGCAAAACAAATCCAAAAATCCAAAAATAGAAAAGTATAAAACAATGCAAAACAGCCATAGGGATAAATTATTTATAATGTAACAAGTATAATATGTATTAGAGAGTCTTAAGGACTTTCCAACTACTCAATCTTGAATGCAAATAAGATTTTAAGTAAGTTTCTTTAATCTTAAACCCACGCAAATGTTAATTGTATTTATATATTTTCTGATTTTTGTGATATTCGCCATTTGTGCCCTGGAAATCTCTTGAAAGTTTGCAGCTGTCCATTCATATCTATTAAACTGAAATAATATATAATGTTGCTTCAGGGGGTGTAGGAATACTACTCTTGAAGTCTCTTCAGGAGAAAAAAAAATGCAGCAGATCACTTCAGGTTTCAAAATTTGTGAAATATATTGTATCCTTGTTGTTAAATCTATAGCTGGTCTGGTCACCAAATAATATCTACTACTGTTCACTGTGTTTGCTCAACAAACAGTTAGTACTTTCTAGCTATCAGGCACTATGTTGGGCAGTGGTAAAAATAAGTTGAATATTATCAAGAAATCATACATTAATTAAAAACACTCTCAGCGTTAACTTCACCTCAGCGCCTTTATATTCACTCTTCCTTCTGCCTGGGACGCACTTCCCTTTGCTTTTTACATGGCTGGCTATTGTCAATCTTTAGCTCCTGACTCAAATATCACTTCCCCAGGATTATCTTCCCAACAACTCTAAGTTGATATACCATCCTCATCATCCTACTCTATATCTTGTTTGTTTATATAATAATCTTTAATTATTTTGTCTATTGTTTACTGTCTATTCATTTCTCTTGAAGAATATGAGCTTCATGAGGGCAAGAACTTACTCAGCATTTCATCCTAGCTGCCTAGCTTTGCTTCCATACTGCCTGCCACATAGTAAGAACTCAGTAAACATTTATTGAATGACTGTAACACCAGCAATTATAATACAGTGTTGTAAGTACAGTAGTAAACAGATCATAGGGGTGTTGGAGGACGGAGTGATTCACTCTACCTGGAAAAGCAGGGAATACTTCACCAGGGAGGAAATGCTTGAGCTGGGTCACAAAGGAAGAATGGCACTTTGCCAAGTAGATGGTGGGAGAAAGGACATTTGACACAGAAGGCAGAGTATGCACAGAGGCAAGAAAGTCCAAAAATTATTATTAGTTCAGAGAATACTAAGTTGTTTAGGATTGTGAAAGTTAAAGGTCTAGGGGGAAGCTGAGCTTCAAGAGTGGGCAGGGGTTTTGTGTGTCATGCTAAAGAATTGAAGATGAGAAGCTCTGAAAAAAAGGTTTAAGCTGGGGTGTAACATGATCAGATATTTTAGAATGAGATCCACCCAAATGGTACAAGGGATACTGTGTAATGGAAAGAGGAGAGGAGGCAAGAAGACCAATTAGGAAGCAATTACAGTCATCCGGTCGAAAGATCCTGATGGTCTGAACTCCATAAATTACTTGACAGAGCAGTGGGTCTCAGTTCTGACTGGACCTCTGACTCACGTGTGTGTGTGTGTGTGTGTGTGTGTGTGTGTTGTTGTTGTTGTTTTTTAAATAATACAGACCCCCGTATCTCAGATTCAAGAACTGCCAAAAGAGGGATGACCCCTCTCTAAACTATATCTTACTATGATTCTCTTAATTACAATGAGGACATTTCAGGACACTAAGAAACAGGGACCAATCGGAAGAATTTTACTGTTTAGTTATTCCCTGTCCAAGAATATGCTAAACCATATTCATATTGTCTGCATTGCTTCCAGCCCTTGTTCAAATGTGGGATTTCCAAAATCCTCAGCCAGCTTCATAGGCATGATCTGGCAATTGGGGATTTGGAAGAAAGCGCAGCAGGAAGAGTTCTGACCCTTTTTAACACCTCCCATTGAGAAGAAATTGTGGGTCAATGTCATATGAATCTTTTCATCATCTGAGACATGTACAGTGCTCACACACAGACCTGTCTTCCTTTTTTCATTCAGGTCACTAAAGAAAAATTTCTTACCCACCGCCCCCGCCCCCCATTCTCTGATAGAATCACAGAAAGCAAGCCAGCATGATCTCCAAATAAACTGTCCTATAAGTACTGTATCTTCTTCCTCTCTAGTCTGTCAACTGAGGGACGGTCACAGGAAACTTAGTATAACTTACTTAAGAACAGTAGATAATCACATATTAAGAAGCATCTTGACAAACTCTTATAGTGTGGAGCTAATTAATACTTATCTTGATCTATATTGTAGGTGAAATTATTTTGGCTCTTCGCCAATTAGATCTTCTTCAGAAAACTATTGTCATATACACCTCAGACCATGGAGAGCTAGCCATGGAACATCGTCAATTTTATAAAATGAGTATGTACGAAGCTAGTGCCCATGTTCCACTCTTGATAATGGGACCAGGAATTAAGGCCAACGTACAAGTATCAAATGTGGTTTCTCTTGTGGATATTTACCCTACTATGCTTGGTAAGTACTGAAATTCTATAAATAGTTTTTTGTAATAATGATGGAGAATGAATAAGCAAAGCAGTCAGAGGCCCTGCTGACGTGTTTGTAACCTTGAGCAATTCATTTAACTGTGAGTCAAATCCATATATGAAAAATGAGGATAATATTCCTCAGGTTCCTTTGGCCTTCACTTACTGTAGTCATTTTTCATTCAAAAGATTCACAGTCAGGATATGACTGTAGAGTAAGCCACATAAGATATTCAAGTTCATAACTTTATATTATGATTTGTATATGATTTGATTCTCTACTTTAACTTCCCTTCTTAAGTATTTCATCCACTTTGAAACTTCCAACTTCATACAGTATTGGAAAAGTCCCTTGATCTGATGCTATGAACATATTTTTCCTGAGAATCTTTAGATTGTTCTGTTACTGTTTGCTTTACTAGTTTCTTAATGTCTATAAGCATAATCATAGGTCTGGAACAGCAACATTTGAATAGTGGTAGTTAGCAGTTTTTACTAAAATAACATCATCAAATTCAGAGGGAATAATATAGAACTGTTAGTTTCAATCTAATATAGCAGAGTACTTTAAATTTAATAACATTTAATTGTAATTCCACTGTTCTAAGATGCTATCAATTGCAAAAAGTAACATCAATTTATAAATAAATTTTGGTGAACATATATATACCTATATATATATATACACCTAGGTATATATATACCTATATATATGCCTATACATATACCTAGGTGTGATACACACACACACACACACACACACACACACCTATATATATGTGTATATGTGTATATATATATATATATATATATATATACACACACACACACACACATACACAA